TTTCAGGTCATTTGTATTCAAATAATGTCATCTACCAAATATTATCTAACATTTCAGGTCGTTCATTATCCAAATAATGTCATTTACCAAATATTATCTAACATTTCAGGTCGTTTGTATCCAAATAATGTCATTTACCAAATATTATCTAACATTTCAGGTCGTCTATATTCAAATAATGTCATTTACCAAATATTATCTAACATTTCAGGTCGTTCATTATCCAAATAATGTCATTTACCAAATATTATCTAACATTTCAGGTCGTTGTATTCAAATAATGTCATCTACCAAATATTATCTAACATTTCAGGTCGTTTCTCAGTCGTCTGTATTCAAATAATTTAATATATCAAATATTATCTAACAATTCAAGTCGTCAATGTTCAGATAATGCCATCACCCAACTCCCATCTAAAAACACAGGTTGTTCAATATCCAAAGAATGACCTATCAAACGTTTTTCTAACAATTCTGGTTATACGTACTCAAAGAATGTCATTTAACAAATCAGACTGTCTGTATCCAAACATGGTCGTCTAACAGATCCCATCTAATTATTCAAGTTGTCGGTATCTAAGTGCTAAATTACTCACAAGCTCTCAACTTTAAACTTTGACCATCCGTATCCAGAATAGACTAGGATATTTTTTGTCGTACTTATATAACAAAAATAAACTTACCTTGCATATTCCGCAGGTGTGGGTGAGCTTCGAGAGTAGGTTTCGTCATGCCAGGGAGAGCATTGTGGGGGTAACCTGGAAGATAACACAGTTGATCTAAGTAACATTTACTTTACCTATTTTGTGCCGCTAGGAATGCAAAATTGATTAGCTTCAGAAAGCTAATTCTGTTACGATAGAAACTACACACAAGTCCATTTGTTTTGTTCTGACAAACTATGAATATCTCGAAACACTTCAACTGAACCTGGTTAAACAATTTAACTGTCTAATAATGGCTGGAGACGGCTTAAATGGGTAATGAAGAAAAACTTTAATATAAGTTTAACATGACAGTCTTTATTAGTCTCAAAGTGGGTTCCTCGTCATCGAATTTAACTGTCTGTTACCACTATACTCTTCAACTGAACCTGGTTAAACAACTTAACTGTCTGTTACCGCTATACTCTTCAACTGAACCTGGTTAAACAACTTAACTGTCTGTTACCACTATAC